GAATGGTGCTGCCGTGCAACGGCGAGCGGGGCGGAATTCGGCGACATGACCACGGATGCCACGGTGAAAGCATATAGGACGTTCGCGAGGTGCGCTGATGTCATCAGAAGGATGAATGGCCCGGCCGTACTATGCCTCATAACAGGTAGGTGGTCTGCGCGCGTGCTGTACGAACGCAAAGTTTTCCTTGGCCCTCGAGGACGAGGCGTATAGTTATAGGCATCAACGGAGGCGGCGTTGATAGTCGTAGTGCTCAAGTCGCAGGGAGAAAGGGTTCTCGGACAGTAGGTGCCGGCCGAGAAGCCGCCTCACAGAGGCCGAGCTCTTCGCGCAATTCTTGGCGAATCATGGACGCGAGATCCCATGAGGTAGGATGCACGTCGACGCTGGCGACATTGGTGACGTTGGGCAGGCGGCCGAACTTTGGTGTAATTCGCCGGGCTTTCAGCGCTTCAAACATACGGCAGTGCTTGATAGCGTTATTTACACACTCTAAACTTTCTTTTGCGATGAGGAACTGGTAAACGTCCTCCGCGATCACTTTTAGAAGATGACCAATCTTGTCGTCTTCTCTATTCCAGGGGCCCAGTGCCCTGCACAACTTGAGCTCCTCCTCGATATACGTCATGCACGGTTCTCCGGGGACTTGTGCTCGTTGCATAAGAGTTTGCTCGGCACGCTTCTTCTTCGCATACGGGATCCCCGACGCACAACTTGATTCCATCGACGACCTTTCGCCACGTTGTCAGGCTTTTTTCATTGTTTTCAAACCACACAGATGAGGTTCCTTTGAGAAAGAGTCCCACAATATTGAGCTGGTCGGTGGCATATTAGCCCTTAAACCAACTCGCCCGTTGGTAGGAGCTGAGGCACGAGTCGACATCTTCTCCAGCTTGTCCAGTGAAGGATGGAAGCTGGATGTAAGGCTGCCACGGAATGCGGGAAGCAGGTGGCTCGTTGTCATTGTTGTCGTGAGACGCCATCGCAAAAGGCAGACCAGAAAGTCGTCAGCTTTGGCGAAGCTCCGCGTATTGCACCTGAGCGCTTGATGAGTCACCGTTCATTGGGGGCGCCGTTATCGTGCCCAGCACCTCTCACCAATACTGTTACGATGGGGCGTGTTTATTGAAGAACGAATGACGAAGGGTAGCCGCGGCGACACCGAGCTGCTTTCAAACAAACCACTTCGTTCTCCTCTTCCTCTCTTCACACGTTGCCACTTCAGCGTAACAATATACTGGCAGAAAAGAGAAAACGCCGAGCAGTTCACCCATATTACAGGTCCGTGCAAACTTCACAGGTCACGGAAGGTCATAGAGGCATCACAACGAGTTCACCAGGATTCCAGCTTTTTTTTTCTCTAGTTCTGTTCACAGGCCAGCGTTGTTGCTTCTGGTATTGGAGTCCTGTTCGTGAGAGAGAGTTAGAAACATGCCGCTTATGGCAACTTTTTGTCAAAGCAAAAAGTAAAGAGTAAGTGAGTAACCTATCAGCGTCTTGAAAAAATAGCACCTTGCCATTAACGAAATCACTGTATCATTATAATTCATCAAACCTGCAATAATATATAAATTATTTAGTGTGACACAGTTTGACTTGAGTGCCTAAAGACATACCTCTCTAAATCACACATCATAACAAATTTTTCCAGGGCCGCCTTGCATTGTTTAACATAAGCTACTGATAATGCAGTTCATGATACAAACCCACACACTGTTCAAGGGGAGAAAATACAAGACAAAATAAAAGGTTAAAGAAGACGACATTTCGACTTCCATAAAGGCCTCCTTCACAATGAGGACAAGCAACTGTGGCTTGGTTGCATGAGGAGAGTTTCCTTTACATCAAATTTGAGGTATTAGTTCAAAGGACATAATTTAGAATCTCCTTTGTTTTTACAAATGAAACGCACGTGTAACCAAAAATGGTAAAACAAGTAGGCTAAAAAAACTTGTGAGATATTGAGTACATACCTCGCTTGGCAGTGTAAAAGTTGCGGTGACATCCATCACCAAATATGCTTGAAGTTGACCTGTCCACGCCAGAAGGTGCCTGTTGACCCTTCCGACCCGGCCTGTGAACAAAAGATGATTGAAGCTATAAGCAGTCAGTGAATGATGTCTATTAGACCGTTGCATGCAGTAACTTGCATACAAGCTTGTAAGCACTTGACACGTCTCTTAGAGTCCTCTTAAACCTACTGCCTTTTAAGTGCTTGCACATGTTGATAACGCTGCACTTAACTCTAGTTTGTCAATTTTTGCGAAGTGATATCGGCTGGTTTCATAAGCAGTAACTTTTAAATAATTCAGTCAGCCCACGCACATTATTGCTCTTGGTACAATGTTTCTCAAAATACACTCTCTTTTTCCCCTCTTGGTATTTTTTTCCGCGACGTATTTAGGCTTTCGTGTGCATTTACAAGATAAGGTCACTTTCGATTGCGATTCGCGAATCAGGGTAGAATTGTCCTATCAAATCAGATACTAACGTCTGCCTTTTATGCCGGCTATCAGTCGAGAACCAGAGTAAGAAATTGCGGAAGAGGTGCAGTGTTCAACCACAGTACTATATAAAAAAACTATTTCTGGTTGACGTATAATTTTACGAAATCGCGGCTGTATAGTCCACATGATTTAGTTTCTCAGAAAAGTAATGATAACGAACAGATGAAAAGAAAGAACAAAAAGTGCTTACAAAACGTCTTCATCAGGTACTCTCAATGAATTCAGCGGTACATAAGATGATAACGCACTCGAACTGTCGATTCCAGTCCTTGCACCGTTAACCACTTCAAATCATTATCGAAAGTGGGCGATAAGCGCAATGAACACGCGCTAATGCTCCTCGTACGCTCACGTTTTCTTTTCCTTTTTTTCACAGAAAGAGGACTTTTTATCATTAGACATAAGCAGACGCCTGAAAATCGCTGCACATTGTTCAACCTCGGCATGAAAGCACCTTCCAAGGCGGCGGTGTCGGGCTAACTCCAACGGTGCATGCACGTCGCTCGAATGCGTACTGCAAGTAAAGAATTTGCACAGACACGCAAAAGAAGTCAACTCCACAACCCACGAAAACTCGCGTTTGCTTCTTCGCTACTCGCAAACTAGGTGACGTCTTAAAACCATGGACAGCCGAAGGATGTAAACAGACGAAAGAAGCATATAAGCACGCTCACCCTGCACCGGGGTTTAGGCTGGAGCGTCGAGCAGAGCGCACGTTACACGGGCCCTCGGTCTTTTCAGTACACCACGCAAGAAATAAGACAAAATGGCGCACCAAGCAGCAGGCTTCTTCCCGATGCGAAAAAAAAACGCACAAAGGTGGTGGTGGCGGTGGTAGTGGTTTTAAGGAAAAAGAAAAAGGCACCTGATTTCTGTCTGCCTATAGGCGGCACGGCGCAGTGCCTTATAGGGTGGGGGGAAGGAGGGATAGAAAGAATAGAAGTAAAAGGTGAAGAGAGAGGGGTAGAGTTCGGTGGAAGAAACACGAAATAACAGGTTGGCAATGCATGCACCGGCTCTCTCGGCTGTTCGTCTCTCTCTCTCTCTCTCTGGCACATCAACGACAGCCTCCTTTCCACTGCCTCATGGAGGGGTGACCTCAAAGGGGCGCGAGAGAGAGTGAGGTGTCACATGACGTGTGGTAGCCAACCGAAGCACAATGGAAGCTTTTCTCCCTTTCTGTCTCTCATCCCTGCTTCTCTACGCTCGGTAAATGACGGCGGAGCCCCCGTCTTTTGTGTTTGATGCCGACAACTCGTCAAAACAGATGAAGAGATGGTTGTCAAAATGACGATCCGTTTTTACAGTGTGGGTGTGAAGTGGTAGCAGCAAGCACAGGTTCGAGTTCACTGGTGGAATATGGGAGAGGACCTAGTCAGGCCGATGAGTATGATGTAGATGATGATGATGGTGATGATGTTCATTAACAACGTAACATGATCATCATTTGTGAGCCACGCCTTCAGAGTGCAATTAAGTTATCTAGGCATGAATCCCACAAATGCTTATACGTAGCAGAGTACAGTCACAGTTTACATCAGATTTCAGCTTACTTATATCAAGCACTCAATAACACCAGATAACAACCAGTACATCAACCTAACCGTAAAACGCAACAACACCTTTTTCACACTATAGGCAGTCGTAACATCTATTTCATATGCAAGCCGTATGTACACTCCAAGACTTGGAGTCCATTGATGAGCGACACGTGGGCGTGGATTATCACCGTAGAATTCAACGCTTACCATTCACTAAGGGAAGGTTAGAAGATAGTTGTCGGGGGAGATGAGACTTAGGGGGCAAAGCTTCATAGGGCCTAGCCATATCGCTTTGTGTCAGGCTGCAGAAAGCCGAAGTTGACGCCGAACGCGTGTAAAATAAAGAGCTAAAACATCTGTATAAAAAATTACTATACGTGTATAACAATAAGTATATGACACAACAATAGGTGATCACCTGCACTGTCGATCTGTCCCTCCATACGCGCATCTCTCCACCCATCTATTCGTCAATATATTCATGCATCTGTCGGTTCATCTGTCCATTTATGCATCCGTGCGTCAATCTGCCTCTCTATCTATCCAATCGTGCGTCCATCCGTCCACGCTTGCGCCTGGCCAACCACCCATGAGTAATTAATCTGGGCGAAATTGCGTTATTACTGATGTTTTGTTATTTTTAGCGTTTATTTTGGAGTATTCCGTGGTAATGTTGAAAAGAACATTCAAGTTTTGAACAAGCTATGCAGTTGTTAGGTGACACGCACATGTAGGCCACAGCATTTGCCTATATTTGTAGTGCAGCCTTTACTTCACCCAAGATATATCGGAGAATAAATTACCATGACAGAGTGGGTGTCGATAGTATGGTTCATATATTATCACTCCTCACATTGGTCGAAAGGGGGCACGAAGTATCACCCAAGAGTTATATTTTTGAAACTTATTTTTATTGTATAACTAAGCATTTCACTCTCCGTTACAGAGGCACTCAGGTATCAATGACAACAAGGTAAGGGCATTTTAACCAATCACAGATTACAATAAACACGCCTCGGGAATTCCATATTTTCCTGCTATAAACAATATAACGAGCATTGTCTATATAGATTTTCTGACGTACGTTTTAGCATGTCTCATGGATAATTTGTGTGTTGGTTCATTATTAACCATTGATAAATTGTTTAACAAATAAGAAGTAAGCACATGATTTTCGAAAGGTACAGATGAACATTACATAATTTTTGTACAACCTATTCTCATTTTGGAATTACATAATTAAAGGGTCACCACAGCGCATTCATTATTAAGTGAAAACATTGGTTCAATATACTGTTTCAGATATGTTTGACGCTATTATTCAAATACTTGGAGTATAGGCGCAATTTCACTAGTTTTTCGTACATAACTCGGCTTCTTTTCGAGCGCTGGCAGCTGCTTGGTAATGAACGATAGGAACAAATAGAGCTGCATCACCTTCGAGGAATCGAAGAGACAGGCCTTTGAGAATTTTGTCTTCGGTTCTCTTTTTTTTTTTTTTGACGCCATCGTGTTTTCGTGGTCATCCCTTTATGTGGAAGTGATGACCACGATGACACGTGCTGCGTAAATGGCGGCTGCCGTACCTACACCAACTGAGAATAACTTTTTATATTAAACACAAGTGGCGGTTTGACATATGTCTGTGGGTGCACTTGTACATATCTTCAGCGCAACCTCTTAACGTTTAGCACAAGAAAAAATATTTAAAAAATTAGAACACAGTCATCTTCCATCCGGTTGGCACGCATACATTGAATCCCGATTTATATGTGCGATCTGTCAATTTTTTAGTTGTTAGTGGTGTACGAGGGCTACAAGTGTGGGTACATGTAATGGTGAAAATGAAAACATAATCTGCGAGATAAATACTTCACATATCTTTAGAAGTAAACAATGTGTGTTGTCATTCCTCCCATTGAGCAGTGAATACAGCTACTAAGAATAAAATGAAAGGTTGGAGCACAACTCAGAGGAGATATCAAGAAAGCTTGAAACAAAAATAGACAAGGAAAAGTACAACTCTAGTGTTCATGAAACGTCGATTGGGTGTGCAATGATAGCTATCCGATTTAAATGTATTACTAATGTACTCCCAGGATACAGCCATCACGTCGGGCTAAAGTCAATTGTACTTAAGTGCGTCCGCTGATCCTGATTTATGTAACAGTCCAACGTGATGGCTGTATCCTAGGAGTACATTAGTAATATTTTTAAATTGGATAGCTATCATTGCATACCCAATCGGCGTTTTATGAACATTAGAGTTGTACTGTGCCTTGTCTATTTTTGTTTCCAGCTCACATGATATCTCATCTGAGTTGTTCTCCAATCTTTCTTTTTTTTTTCTTAGTAGCTTTATTCACTACTCAGTGAGAGGAATGACAACACATAATGTTGACTTCGAAAGATACGTGAATTATTTATCTCGCAGATTCTGTTTTTGTTTTTGCCATTACATGTACCCACACTCGCAGCCCTCGTATGCAATGCCCTTTTTGGGCCCTTCGGGTATACGTAAAAATAAAATAAAATACATAAAGAAAGGTCTATTTAAAAAGTAGTTCCAAAACGTGGAACTACTTTGGAACTACTTCTCCGTGTGGAAACCACGGAGAAGGCCTTGGTTTGATTTTTGCGGGGCCCTGCCATTTATTATTTGCGTTCGTCAGGGGGTCAACGCTGCTGCCGTCAGCTTTTTTAATGGTATTGCGTTGAATTACCCATGACTTTTCTCGCCGTTCCTGGGAAGATAAAAAAATGGCAGATCCCACGTACAGATACAACCAATGATAGGCGACGCACGAATGAGGAAGGCTTATATCACACTATAAAATCAGCACAGCGTTACGAGACGGAGGGAAATTATACCATACATGACTTCCATGTCATGATTATTATATGTGGGTGAGTCAGTCACCTTCGTCGTCTTTTCAACTCATCTGATACTAAATTCACTATATGTAGAGCTAGCGAAACAGCTGCGAACGTGCTACTAGCGTTGCATGTAGGCAAGTTTTACGTGACACGCATGTCATGATTATCATGTTTGGACGTGTCATTTACCTTCGTGGTCAGTTCACGTCACGTGATACCAAATTTGGTATTTGTAGAGCTAGCGATACGATCACGAGTGCATCATGAGTGTGGTAGGTTGTCATGTTCTTACATGATACGCGAGTCATGATTATCAATTTGCACCACTCGCATACCTTCGTCATTCGTGGACGCCACGTAAAACCAATTCTGGTATATGTGGAGCTAGCGAAATGGCCACGAGCGCATCACGAAGGACCAATATACTCCAACGTGACGATGGCGCGCGCGCATGCTGGGCGCAGCGACTCTACGCTAGCAGAACTTGAGCACTGTTTAGTCGGACGCCAGGCGCGACTGGCGCGAAATGCGACATGGTGACATGCTGCGTTTTGCGCCAATGACATTACCCAGACAGCACTGCGTCTGCCTCTCTTCGTGACGGAGGGACGCCAGGCACTTAAACGAGCATGACTAAAAGCAACGCAGTTTCACGAAACGAACTCCGGCGCCCACGCACGCTGGGTCACGTAGAAGTGTACTGATGCCTTAAGTGTGGCATGTAGTCATGTTCTTAAACGACACCTATCTCAAGATTATCAAGTTCACACCATTCACATACCTTCGTCATCCATTCACGTGACGTAATACCACATTTCCCTATCGGAAAAAAACGAATGGTGGGCATGGTGGAAACCACCACCCATCATTATAGTGGATTAATGTAGTGGGTGAATGGTGGGAAACGCCCACCATGGCGCATGGTGGGTATGGTGGGTGCTGCAGTGCCGTCAACGCTTGAGCGCGAAATGACGTCAGAATCACCGTGACGAGGTGCCACCAAAATAAAAAATGATTCTATAAAAACGGTATAAAAAACACCCGTCCCGTAAAAAAAAAAACAAGGCGCCACGGAGGATCGAACGTGCAACCTGCGGATGCCCATTCAATGACGCTAACCACTGCGCCACACCAACATGACGTTGATTGTGTGTTAAATACCTAGTAGGCATACAAACTTAAGGTTCAACTTAAGCTATGTTTGTCGTGTACCCAACATAGACAAGATCTACACCTGCTACTAAAAATTGCACATTTATTAAACACAAGCAACTGCGGCCTGTAACGATTGCCACTATATTAATGGCACCTAGTGCTATTTTTTTTTTACAATTCACAACTTCAAGAAAAAAAAACCAAGTGGACTTGGTAGCAGCAAAAGTTTACCGGCGGGGTCTGCCAAGTTTAATATCCGTTTCGCGCTCGTTCTAAAGGGCGACATCTGCTCACGCTTTATGACGCTTCTAGGCTCATTCCATAGATACGCCCGCCTAATTTATTTGATTAAGTATTGGGATGCTTTTCGCGCAATGTAGAGGGCGGTCATGCCAGCGCAATGCTGTAGCTCTTTCGCTAAAGCAACAACTACATAACGGCTTGACCAAAACGAATGCAGTGTGCCGGAAACATTACGCTATCATATTGGTTCACCAAGCACACGAATTGCCACGTCTGAGTTCTCGTACAAAAGCTAGAGAAGTGCCGGCGAGTGCGACCGGCGGCTGTCGGTGAGAAGACACTTAATTACGTTCTCTGGGAGTGCTTTAATCGCGTCGCATCGATGTTTGTTGCTTCTTGAGCGGACACCATACGCAATGAAAAATGCTTCATTTAGGTTAATTGATGCCATATGGCTGCGCTGTATTGTCATACTTAATCGTCGAAATTGTGTATTCTGAAACCCGGAAGCACGGATAACACAATTGTACGGGCTCGGTCAGTAAGCCTAACCTTTGGTGGAAATCATGGTGGTAGAACATGTAGTGTACAGATCCCAGCTTGGTACACTTTATAAATCGCCCGCCATTATAAGCCCACCCATCATCTCCTTACTGCTTCCCAGCATTATCGCGATGGTGAGCAGAGCTTCTCAGCTTGGTACACCATGTTGCCCACCATAACAAGCAGCACCCATCATCTGCTTAGTGCTTCCCAGCATTATCGCAATGGTGGGAAGAGTTTCTCAGCTTGGTACACCATGTAGCCCACCATAATCAGCACCACCCACCATATGCTTAGGGCTTCCCAGCATTATTGCAATGGTGGGCAGAGTGTCCCATTATTGCCCACTATCTAGCCTCTGCTTTCCACCATCATTTCCACTTTACCCATCATCTGCACACCATACCACCCAGTATGTCTCGGCATAACCACCATATTTTCCACTACGTCCCACCATAGCCATCATATTTTCCACCATGCCCACTATTAATTCCACCATGCCCACTATTATTTCCACTACGCCCACCATGTTTTCCAGTATCCACCATGACAATTTTTCCGATAGGGTTGATATTCGGGAAACTAGCGAAACGGCCGTGAGCGCACATGGGTGTAGCATGTTGTCATGTTGTTACAGGACAAGCATGTCATGATTATCATGTTTGGACGTCGTCGTCGTCCGTTCGCGTCACGTAATATCAATTTTAGTATATGTGAAGCTACCGGAACGACCGCGAGCGCATCATGAGTGTGGCAGGTAGTCATGTTGTTACACAACACGCATGTCATGATCATTACGTTTGGACATGTCATTTACCCGGGTCATCTATTCGCGTCATGTAATACCGAAGTAGATACATGTGAAGCAAGCGAAACGGCCACGATTGCATCATGAGTGTAGCATGTAGTCATGTTGGTACATGACACAAAACTCATGATTATAATGTTTTCACTAGCCAGAGACCTTCGTCATTCATTCACGTCCCGTAATACCGAATTTGGTATAAGTGAGGCTAGCGAAACGCCCACGAGCGAATGAAAAGCGTGGCATGTAGTCACCTTGTTATATGACATGCATATCATGATTATCAAGTTTGCGCCATTCTTGTAAATTCATCATCCATTCATGCCCCGTAATACCACATTTGCTATATG